GCCAAGGATGTCCCAGAAAAGCAATGCAGCTTTTTTTTTTTTTAAACTCTTGCATCAAAGTATATAGGCTAACATCTCCATTAGTTGTTTTCCTTGGCAGTCTCTTTAGGACAACTTGGGTCCAGACTGGTCCCACGATTATCCTGGTCCTGGCTACTGAATGTTGACTCAGCTGCGACCCTGGATGCCTCTGCCTCATCCCCCCAAGGGTGCCCAGCGCACCCTCCCCATCCACAGCTGTGTTTGATCATTACAGTAGAACATGTCTTACCTCTGATCTATGTGATGATGTAATTCAGATGGAGCAAGGCACAATGAACATCAAAACAGTGATTTTTCAGTATGTAACTTCAGCATATTGCTCCTGTATGTCATTGCTTAGAAAATAAGTTTCCTCTCCTCTCCTTGATTGATATTACAAAACCCCTTTTCCACTCCTTTAGAACTCCTCCTGAAAGCCCTTCCTCATTCAGTCCAAATAGAGCCGTGACAATGTGCGCCATGAAGTCATCTGTCTCATATAGCTGGCAGTCTGGATGTCATTTTAAGCTCAGCTCGGATTCTCCATCTACAGAAATAGTCAGCAGTCGACTGAATGAAAATAGTGATGTGTTTCAGAAATGAAGCCTCGTTTTCTTCCTCCGACTGGGCAGCCTGTAGCTTAACTTACTTACAGCAGAACACATCCATTCAGCCCCATCTTTGTCCTTACCAGCATGAGGTGCTTCTTCATGGATGCAATCCAGCATTTATGGATTTCTGCACACACAGATACATTTCCTCTTGGAGAACAATACCCTTTCTTTTGAAGAGGTAATACTAATCTATCATTGTATTAGTTAAGAGGCTTTGGGTGTCCATTAACAGGAAACCTAATTCAGACTAGGTTAAGAAATGAAAATGATTTACTGATTCCTGTAAAATCAAATCAAGAATTAGTGTGAGACTGAGATAAAGCTTGATCGATCAGCTCAGCAAGGTAACTTGCGACCTGATTGCTTTGTTAGCCTAAAGCATTACAGATGACTTTCAACTGCTTCCAGTGGCCATATACGCACTGAGCAGGAAGGGAGAAATCCTCTATGGATTTCTGGTAAAAGCAAAACTAGTCTTTCCTCAAAGTTCCCAAGACACTTCTCTTTGTATCTCAGTGTCCAGCTGGGCCACACGTCCATCTGTAGGCATTCAGTTTTGACCAGTAGATGTTACATGCTGACTCCTTAAACTAATCAGGGCGCCACGCCTAGAGGTAGGAGTGGGGTTAGCTTTTGCCAAGTACAGGGTCCGTATTGAGGTAGATATTTTCCCCAGGAGGAGGTGGGGCTTGGATTCAGACACAGACCTATGAACACCACATTTCTATCACAAATATAATCCGACTAATATTCAAGGAAACCCATAAAATTTTGCTTATCAGTTTTGGTAGCTCCTGTTTCAAATGCACTTTGTGCATTTCCCATGCTCTGTGCTTGGTTGTACACAAATATCTGAGGCCATAAGCAGTCTTCCTGGGTCCTTTCTCAACTGTTTTCTTGTGTGAATGACTGGATCCCGAGCCAAGCTCTCTCCATGTTTACATATTAGAATTTCACAGAAGCCCGGTGTAGCAGACACCATCAACTTGTTTTTGTAGGTGAGGAAACACCTACAAACCAGTTTGCCCAGTGACTCACAACTGTAAACGATAGACTCAGGATTTAAATGGAGGCAGTCTATCTCTAAACCCAGGACCTTATGTACTATGTCATGCCAGTTATAGTTTCCCTAATGAGCTCAGACTTAACAAGTGTCCTAGGACAGCAACATGCACTATTTTAGTTATAGTCAGGAAAATCAAGAGAATAAGGAAGTTATTATCTGTTTCCTGGCACTTTTCTCTATATCCTTGCTGACATTTGTTATTTCTTTTTTTTTTTTTTCTGATAATACCCATTTTAAGGGGCATGAGGTACTATCTCATTGTGGTTTTGATTTGCATTTCTGTAATAATTAGTGATGAATATCTTTACATGTGCCCATCAGCCATCTGTAGGTCTTCTTTGGAAAAATGTTTCTTCAAATGGTCTGCCCATTTTTTAATCAGTTGGTTTGCTTTTTGTTGCTGCTGACTTGCATTATTTACAATACCTTACCGTTTTCAGTGCCCAGGTCTTTCACTACTCCCTTGGTTAAATTTACTCCTAGTTATTTTAGCCTTTTTGTTGCAATTGCAAATGAGATTGTTTTCTTAATTTCTCTTTCTGCTAGTTTGTTGTTTGTGTATAGAAATGCAACAGGTTTTTATATATTGATTTTGTACCCTGCAATTTTATGGGTTTTTAAAATTTTTTCTAGTAGTTTTTGGTGACGTCTTTAGGCTTTTCTATATAGGAAATCGTGTCATCTGAAAATTATTATTATTTTCCTTCTTCCTTTTTGACCTGGATTACTTTTATTTTTTTTTCTCTTGCCAATTTGCTCTTTCTAGGACTTCCAATACTTATATTGAATAAGAGTTGGCAAAATTCTACATCCTTATATTATTCCTAATCTTAGAGGTATAGCTTTCAGTTTTTCACCATTGACCATGATGTTATCTGTGGGTATGTCATATGTAACCATATTACGTTGGAGTACATTCCTTCTATATATATTTTATTATGAAGCAAAAGTCACTCAGTCAGGTCTGACTCTTGTGACCCCATGGACTATATAGTCCGTGGAATTCTCCAGGCCAGAATCCTGGAGTGGGCAGCCTTTCCCTTCTCCAGGGGATCTTCCTAACTCAGGGATCGAACCCAGGTCTCCCGCATTGCAGGCGGGTTCTTTACCAGCTGAGCCACAAGTGAGGTCCAAGAATACTGAAGTGGGTAGTCTATCCCTTCTCCAGTGGATATTCCCAACCCAGGAATTGAACCAGGGTCTCCTGCATTGCAGGCGGATTCTTAACAACTGAGCTATCAGGGAAGCCCCGTATATTTTATTATAACACATTCTTATAAATGGGGATTGAATCTTGTCAAATGCTTTTTCTGCATATAATGAGATGATCATACAATTTTTTATCTTCATTTTGTTAATGTGTCTATGACATTGATTGCTTTGTGGGTATTGGACACCCTTGCACCCCTGGGATAAATCTCATTTGATTATAGTATATCATTCTTTTAATGTATTGCTGAATTTGGTTTGTTCCTCTTTTTATGAGGAATTTTGCATCTGTGTTCATTAGTGATAATAGCCCGTATTTCTGTGTGTGTGTGTGTGTGTGTATTGTCCTTGTCTGATTTGGTATTAGGGTCATGTTGGCCTCAAAAAAAAAAAAATGAGTTAGGAAGTATTCCTGCCTGTTTAGGGTTTAGGAAGGATAGCTATTCAATCTTCTTTGAATGTTTGTGGAATTCATCTGTGAAGGCATCTGGTTTTAGACTTTTGCTTTTGGGGAGTATTTTGATTACTGTTTAAATTTCCTTATTAGTCATCAATATATTAAGGCTCTCTTTCCCTTTATGATTCAGTATGGAAAGGTTGCATGATTCTAAGAACTTACCCATTTCTTTTAGGTTGTTTAATTTGTTGGCATGCAACTACTCAAAGTATTCTCTTACAATTCTTTGTAGTTGGTGGTATCCGTTGTAATCTCTCCTCTTTCATTTTTTTATTTATCTGAGCCTTCTTTTTTTTCTTAGTGAGTCTAGTTTAAGGTTTGTCAATTTTGTTTCTTATTTCAAAGAACTAGCACTTAGTTTCATTGATCTTTTCTGTTGCCTTGTAAGTCTCTATTTGAACTTATTTCTGCTCTGATCTTTATTATTTCTTTTCTTCTACTTCCTCTGAGCTTTCTTTGTTCTTCTTTTTCTAGTTTCTTTATGTGTAAGTTAGATTATTGCTTAAGGTTTTTCTTGTTTCTTGAGGTAAGCCTGTATTGCTATAAAATTCTCTCTTAGTAGTACTTTTGCTGTATCCTGAATTTCGGTATGTTGCATCTTCATTTTCATTTGTCTTCATGTCTTTTAAATTTCTTCTCTGACTTCTTCATTGACACAATAGTTGTTCAGGAGCATGTTGTTTGGTCACCACATATTTGTGATTTTTCGTTTTCTCCTTGTAGTTGATTTCCAGTTTGTACCATTGTAATTGGAAAAATGCTTGCGATGATTTCAATCTTCTTAAATTTGTTGGAACGTGTTTTGTGTCTCCACATCTACTCCATCCTTGAGAGCGTTCCATGTGCACTTGAGGAATGTGCATTTTGCATTAGGATGCAATGCTCTGTACAAATCTAAGTTCATCTGGCATATGTTTCATTTAGGCCACTGTTTCCTTGTTTACTTTCTGTCTGGATGATCTATCCACTGATGTAATTGAAGTATTAAAGTCCCCTACTATTACTGTGCTGCTTTCAATTTCTCACTTTAAATCTGTTAATAATTGTTTTATTTATGTTAGTTCCTATGTTACATGCTCATATATTAATATGCTAACTATGCCTTCTTGATGGATTGTCCCCTTTATCTGATATAAGTTCATCTTTGTCTCATTACCTTTTTTGGCTGAAACTATGTTTTGTCTGATGTGGGTATGGCTGCACCCACTTTTTTTTTTGCTACCAATGCAGGAGATCTGGGTTTGATCCCTGGGTCAGGAAGATCCCCTGGAGAAGGAAATGGCAATCCACTCCAGGATTCTTGCCCCAATCCTATGGACAGAGGAGCCGGCAGGCTATAGTTCATGGGATCACAAAGAATTGGACAAAACTAAGTGACTAACACACAAACACAACTATTAATTCTCTAAATAAACTCTGTTCCCATCTCCTGCTGTTTTTCTCTGGAATGCTCATTATACTCAAGTTGCCTTTCCTAATGAATTTTTGGTACAATTTCTTTATTTTTAAGCACCTTTCTTATTATGTAAAGATTTTTAAATTATTTCTAACAATGTAGCTTGTTGATAACTAGAGGGATTCCGTCTGTTTTTCAGTAGGTGGTGCTATAGCACAAGTTTTGGGTTTCTTTTACCTGCGCGGCCTCTGGCCACATTTGAGAATCTGCAGTTTGCACCCTCCGCCAGCTCTGCCTCTGAGGTGCGTGTCGCTGGCGCGCTCACGGTAGCCGCACGTGCCTCTGGGGTTGCTGGGGGCTTGTTGCCGCTGGTGTTGCACCAGGGACACCGGGGTGGTGGGCGCCTCTGCGCCGAGGGGTTGTCGGGTTTGCGGGTACCGTTGCTGTGGGCGCAGGGCCCAGAGTCAAGGGTACCGCGATGGCCGGAGGGCCCCGAGTCACGGATTCTGCCGCTGCTGCGGCCCAGTTCCTCGCGGCCACTGCAGCCGGGAGGCCGGCGTTGTGTGCACACTTCTCTGCTGCAGCAGGCTCTCTGGAGCCGCAGGTTGAGCCACCAGGACCAGGGCCTCATCTCAGGCGCTGCTTCCACCGTCCCTGCGTCCTCTCTCTGCTCCAGGTGCCCACCTTCAGCTGCAGAGGTGTGTGGATGTCTCTGGCATCTGGATGTGCTGGGCAGGGAAACCTTTGCTGAACTGGGGATATTTTACTAGTTGTAGATTGAAGGGGAGAGACACAAAGACAGAATCTCAGGCTACCACAATGCCAGTATCACCCACAGCCACGTCCTTCAGCTGAGACAGATGAAATGCCGGGAACTGCAGACTGCTGAAGCAGTGACAGTGATCCTTGACAACGAGAACTATTTCTGAAGCCCGGGGACTGGCAAATGGAGCTGAGGAAAAAGTGCAGTTCCATAAATAAACAAATAAAATTTTACTCTGAAGTCTGAAGAGGCAACTTCTGATCATGAGCAAGATCGAACGTAGTTACCAAAAGCACAATTTATTGGCACTTAGAAATGGAACTAGGCCATCTAAATATGAGTGGCAGACTGAAGATAGATATTTATTTATTTCCATGTATTTCTTAAGACTCAAAAATCACAATAAAGAATTTTAAAATGCATAAATCTGAATTTGTACGACAGTTGATGCAAGGGACCCACATTTTTTGAAGCTAAAAATGTAATACACACATAGTTCCTGATCTAGAAGTCTACAGAAAGTGAAAGCTAAGTTTGTGATAGAATAAAGCAGAAAAGTCGAGGAGAAGTGAGCCTATTCACTAGAAACCTGGAAAGGCTTAGAAAAGGGGGGCAGGGGTAAGGACAGCCAGAGTGCTTGAAAGGGAGAATACTCAGCACAATTAATGAGGACTCCTTTCACCTCCGTGGATTGTATAATTTGACATATGACAATATACCAACCTAACCTCCACTATACGTGAGACTGAAGTATTCCTATCTGGAGAAAATTATGTATTCTTTAAAGAGAAGAACTTGCTCATAATGACAATTAGAGGTCTCAAAATAAGGCAGGTGGCTTGCTGGTCAATCACCTAGCAGAACAGCCTGCCAACTGACAAGGTGCTTCGTCTCCAACTCAAATAGAGATTTCCCAAACAGCTTTTTCAGTGTCTGTCTCTTTTGCCAAACCAAGCTACCATATGCTGTCCTTTCTGTAGTCACTTCCCCTACCTCCTTGTCTGTTTAATGGACCCGTATTTATCCTTCAGTACTCAGCCCAAATGCCAGCTCTTTTGTGGTTCATCAGAGGATGAGCACATCCTCCCCCTGTCTGTCATGCCACATTATGCATTAGGACACCTTATTGCCTTCAAAATTGGATCTAGGTTTGTCTCCTCCTCATTTGGCTGCGGATCTTTCAAAGATAAGGCCTATATTCTTTTCAGGTCTGTCTTCTCAACCTCTGTCCAAGCGCTTGAACAAAGAAGGATTGCATCTTAAACTATTTTTAATGTCAGTTAGATACAGTGAGAATTTATACTAGCTAACTTAAAAGAATTTTCTTTGAAACCTGAGCCGCTATGACCATAAAACAAAAATTTAATTTCCTGAGAAATTATCAATACTGTATATAATGGAATGTGACCATTATATAATTACATAATTGAAGAAGTGAGAACCCATTGGGAACAGAACTGGTATAATGTGCAATATAAAAAGTGTGTGTTAGCCGCTCAGTCATATCCGACTCTTTTGTGACCCCATGGACTATAGCTTGCCAGGCTCCTCTGCCCATGGAATTTTCCAGGCAAGAATACTGAAGTGGGTTGCCATCCCCTTCTCTAGGGGATCTTCCTGACACAGGGCTTGAACCCGGGTCTTCTGAATTGCAGGCTGATTTTTGACCGTCTGAGCCACCAGGCAAAGGTATAAAAAGTATTGAATAAAATTCAATCGTTTCCTGAGAATACTTATTTTTTTATTCTCTATTCATATATATTTTTTCATGAGTCCACATTTAGAGACCATGTAATTTTGTTCTGTATATATGATGGGCATTATATATATATAAATAAATAATATGTATTTATATTATATATACACATAAAACTCTTGGTCTTCTATAAACCAGGCAGTGACATGTATTCCCTGGCTAGCCGTTTCTTGTTTTGGAGTTAGGACTTGGAAAATAGTCTTAGGAACCATTTTCTATTGGGAAACTTTTCTGACTAACTTTGGGAAACTCTTGGGATTTATTAGCTATGTTTCTAAAGCTTGATCTTTAACAGACAGAGGTTTCAAGGAATTATTGAAGTGGAATTAATGCTATTTTTCTTATTATGATTGGTAAGGCTACACGACATCCCTTCCTAACTTACATAACGCCATTGATCTGTCTCCATAATTATGTTTATTTGGGGGATAATTTAATTCCATAAAATTATACAGACATAGTAGAAAAAAGTGAATATATATAAATATATAATACATATAAATGCACTTTATTTCATATAACTGAAAACTTCATGAGGCCAGGAATCATGAATGTCGTGTTACTCACTGTTTCTCTAACATTTAATATAATGCAGAGAAATACAGAATAGATGCTTAGTAAATATTTGCTAAATAAGTGAAACACAGAATCAGGTAAGCATTTCATTATCTCCTTAGATAGAAATTTTATAATGCTCTCCTAAATTTTGAACCAGTTCAATAGTTTTGATTGTTATATGAATTTAATACAACATTGTTAAGCAACTATATGCCAGTTGAAAAATAAATAAAAAATTAAAAAAAAATTCCATAATCAGAACCATATGGTATTGGTGAAAGAACAGACAAATCGATCAATGTAACATAAGAGAGAATCCAGAAATAGACTGACATATATAAAGTCAGCTGATCTCTGGCAAAGGAGCAAAGGCAATAAATAAAAACAGTCTTTTCAACGAATGATGCTAGGACTGGACATGCACACACAAAACAGAATCTGGACACGGACCTTATACCCTTCACAAAAATTAAACTCAAAATGGAGCACAGCCCTAAATGTAGAATGCAAAACTGTAAAACTTCTAGAACATAATCAGCCATGGGTGTACGTGTGTTCCCCATGCTGAACCCACCTCCCTCCCCATCCCATCCCTCCGGGTCATCCCAGTGCACCAGCCCCGAGCATCCTGTATCATGCATCGAACCTGGACTGGCGACTCATTTCACATATGATAATGTACATGTTTCAATGCCATTCTCCCAAATCATCCCACCCTCGCCCTCTCCCACACAGTCCAAAAGACTGTTTTATACATCTGTGTCTCTCTTGCTGTCTCGCATACAGGGTTATCATTACCATCTTTCTGAATTCCACATATACGCATTAGTATACTGTATTGGTGTTTTACTTTCTGGCTTACTTCACTCTGTATAATGTTAAAACATTCTTGCATTTCTGTGATAAGTTTCTTTTGGACATAATATTTATTGTTCTTGTTTTTCACTGAGCTGATAGATTCCAGTTTGTAAAGTTTTATTTAGAATTTTTTTGTTTTATTCATTAATGGGCTGAATTTGTGGTTCCATTCTTTTCTCCCTTTGTTCCTTTCTCTTCTCCTTCCTTCTTTTTTTCTTTCCTTTTAAAATCTTTTCTAGTTTTGACTTCCATCTTGCGTTCTCAAAAATAATTGGGAATTTTTCCTCTTTTTCTATGCAACAGCATGGATTTATCTGTTATTTGGAATTTGGGTGAAATTATTTGTGTCTTGTGTTTTTTCAGGGAGAGTCAGTTGTTTAACTCTATTTCTTTTATGGAAATTTTTTGGATTATATATATATATGTGTGTGTGTGTATAAAATATGTATTCTGGAATCAGTTTTGGAATTTTTTTCTTAGCAAATTATTTATTTAACCCAAATTTGTGAACTTTATTTCCATGGATTGGACCAAATTTCTTTCTTATGGTTTTTAAATTTCCTCTGTTTAACTGGTTATTTATGGGCAGCATATTTTTTTTTCTCATTTTTTCCATGTTAAGTTAGCTAATAAGTCTTGTTATTTTTATCCTTTGTTCAGAGATACAATTTTGTGATTTATTAATTTTATAACTGTATTTATCTTTTGAAAAAATTTCTTCCTTTTATTTTACTTATTCTTTTTTAAAATTCTTGAATTCCATGCTGTTTGTTTTATTCCTTTTTATTTATTGGTGTGTGTGTGTGTATGTACATACACTCATATCTTTATACTAAGTTTTTTATGTCAGTGATATGCTTCTGTAATTTTCTTCTCAACCCTGCTTCAGTATATCGTTAGTTTAGATATGCAGTGTTTTTATTACAATTTCTTTTATTTAAAAAAATTTAATTAATTAAAAATTTTTTTTAATTTGAACCATTTTTAAAGTCTTTATTGAATTTGTTACAATATTGTTTCTGTTTTGTATTTCATTTTTTTTTTGTCCACGAGGCACGTGTGGGATCTTAGCTCCCCAATCAGGGATCACACCTGCACTTCCTTCATTAAAAGGTGAATTATTAACCTTTGGAACACCAAGGAAGTTCCCTATAATTTCTTTTAGACCATCTTTAGTTTTGTTTTTTAATTTCTTTTTACCTAGAATTATTTTTAAAAGGCATTTTAATGTTACTGTTTTTAAAAAATTTTTTGTGTAGTGAGTTCAGAAAGTATTACCTGTATCCTGGATCATTTTTACTTTCTGAAATTTATAGATTTTTTTTGAAGCAAGTTTGTAACCAGTGTCCCTGAAAGTTTCATGAGCACTTCAAAGGAAGATACATTTTCTATTTTTTGCAGAGTTCAAACATAATATTTATATCTGATTTATTAATTATGTTATTTAGATCATCTTGGTTTTGGTTGGCCTTGACCTGCAATGGCTTGAAGCGCGGCTTGGGTTCGCAGCCAGAGATTGGGCTGAGTCATGGTGGTGAAAGCGCCAGGTCCTAGCCGTAAGACCAGTGGTCAGTGACAAGGCCCTGACCTTTGGCTTTACGGAAAAGAATTCCCACAAAGACAGAAAGTAGTGATGCAAGTTAAGTGTTTATTGGGAGGAAAAGGAGTAGGTACATGTGGATAGGTACATGGTCAG